AGCGAATAAATTTTTGCGAAACGTGCGGACGGCAAAGTGTTAAAATTTACCTTTAATTTTTTCTTCGATAGGTGTGAGTTGTATTTCGGAACAAGGACCTCCACCAGTTTTCATTTGTTCCTGTTTCATGTCCGCACATTTTTTGCGAACGGTTTTTTTTAAAAATTCATACTTTGTGCGCAACGATTTTGAGTCCCTTGCTACTCCCGTTGTAGCGCTCATCGTTGCCGCTATCTCCTCCCACACCTGCATACAATAAATCGCCATAACATTGAAATTGAAAATTGTGTTTTATACTACACTTACATTTTGTTTCTCTTTCCAGGTGACGGTATCACTTTTTTTATTTTCAATAACTTTTTTTCGGTCGGAGATCAATTCGATCAATAAATCGACCTCTTCCATTTTAAAGTTAACTGATCGCGGACGTTTTTTGTCGCCTGAAGTTGATTGAATGGAATCCATAGCCATTTTCTCTTAGTTTTCTAATCACGACAACTACACAACGACAATCGCTAAGAAATGTCACTTGTCAAAAAGTTGTTTACAAACATTTACAAATAACCCAATTTTAGATCATTTATACGTTCGGCCAACCGTCTTCATAAAATTCCCCTAGATATATCTCCTAACCTTGCAATAAACTTAACCTCCTCATAAGTCGGAGTGGTAAAAGCCGTTTTCGAGATAACCTAATGTTACGCGCTAACCTCCTGTAATGCTAACAGCTAGAATGACAGGAGGTGGTAAAAGTGTCAAAAGTCAAAACTTATTGTAGTCTTACCGAATAGAATAGATAATTATAGTGGTCGGTTGGGTCGGTATTACAGGCGGCCTGTTTCTGTTAGTATTAGAAAACAAAATATCCAAAAAAAACGCTAGGTGGCGCGACGTATATCTGTCAAATGTCAATCAAGATTTAAATTTCGAAAATTGTGTTATAGTGTTTATAAAGTGTTATAAAATCATCAAATAAATGAATATTGACGAATATTATACGTTAACACCACCAGAAGTTACGGAAACTGCAAATTTTGTATCTTCAAGTTTATTACCGATAAAGAGTAAAAGCCTGTATGAAAAAACTTATGCCGAATTTACATTATGGTGTAATGAAAAACAAATAATGCGATACTCAAAATCTGTTTTATTGGCATATTTCTCGAGTATTGTAGAGAAAGGATTAATTGCCAGTTTATGGCCAAAATATTCTATGCTTAAAGCAACATTAAATTTGAAACATAACATAGATATAAGTAAATATAATAAACTTATAATGTTTATCAAAAGAAAAAAAGAAGGATACATACCAAAAAAATCCAAAGTGTTTGAAAAAGAACATATACAAAAATTTATTTCTGATGCTCCTAACAACGTCTTTTTAATGTCAAAGGTAAACAAATAAAAAAGTAAAAATTATAATATTAAAATACCATTTTATTTCGAAGGTTGCATTGGTTTTCGGAGTATCCGGTGCATTAAGAAAGCAAGAATTGCTGAACTTGCAAACGGATGATGTGCAAGATTTAGGATCAAAATTTCTTGTAACAGTTAAGGCATCTAAAACGCACACAAACAGATTATTTACTATAGTAGAAAATCAAGAAAATATCATTCTTGGTTTGATTAAACACTATATATCATTAAGACCAGCACATACCCCACATAAGCGGCTTTTTATTTTTTATAAAAATGATAAATGTTCTGTACAGCCAGTTGGCATAAACAATTGTCGTCCACTATAGAAACCTTTTTGAAATTAGAACAGCCCCAACTCTACACCGGACATTGTTTTCGGCGTTCTTCTGCATCGATACTTTCTGACAATGGAGCAGATTTTTCAGCTATTAAACGACTTGGTGGCTGGAAATCGACTAGTGTTGCAGAAGGTTATATTGAAAATTCGCTCCAAAATAAACTTAATACAGCTAAAAAAATAGTCTGTGAAACCGTAACACAACATCATAACACTAATCCTACCAGCGCCGGCACNGTCGTATTGTCAATTGTAAATTGGTATTACAACATTTTTGAATTAGTTGAAATAATAGTTGTTAATTTATCCATTTCTTTAGATATAAAACCCAAAGCTTTTATTAATAAGATATTTCAACTAAATATTAGATGAAATAACTACTACATAATACGTTGTTATATCGATATTCAATAGTAAAAAAATCTAATCGTTCTTGTCGGAAATATATCTACATAATCAGAGGTCCATAAACTATTTTAGTAGATGAAATGATTATAAATTGTAACCATTTCAATTAGCTAAATTAACTACTACATTTAACAAACGTATTAAGTATTTAAAGTAAACAATCTATAAAATTATATTAGTTAAAATAACTGCAACGGTAGGCGAAACTACCACAATTTGGCGGCGCATTGTAGTTTATATGTGACGTCATCAACATCTCCGCTTCGGGCTTCAGTTTCATTCGTATAGAAACTATGATCGTGTTAATAAGTGTTCTCGTGTTTCCGAGTTGGTACAGTACTAATAATGTTCCAAGACGCCATAGTAGTAGACGAGGCCAACGTGGTTGCAAATTTATTGGAGAGTTGGGGTGTTTCACAACTAATTAACGATTTTGAAGGTAAGTGAAAAGATTAATCATTATGATACGGAATTAGTGCGTTTTCGATGTGACAATTTTTTTCTGTTGAGCATTTTTCTGTGTTGCGTTTATTATAATATTTTTAGTATAATATAGTCATTTCGTTGTTTGTTAGAATGTTTTCATTCTTGCATTTCGCGTTAATTTCTTAAAATACAATTAAAAGCAATTTTATATTCGGTTTTTTAGTTAGAGACGGAAAATTCGTTAAATCAGGCGTCTCACCGCTGGCGTCTGGCGTCGCGTCATCACCATCGTCGCGTCTGTTGCCAATCGATATTTTTTTTTAGCTACTACTTTTTTTTTACCTACGTAAAATAATTATAATTGGTAGTATTTTATTAATAATATTATATCCTTTTTTTAACCCTTTGTCTACCAAATTGTCAAATACGAATATATGTCTGTACTACCAGAGGTACTTTTAAGTACCACTTTCAAAAGTGGATTATTATTATTTCAAATTATGCTATATTTTAGTGTGAAGAGCTCTAATTTATAGTACAGTGTTAGTTGAAATATATTTTCATAAGTTGGTAACACGGAATGTTATGACAGCGAAAATTCAAACAGTTGAATTGCGGCGGTTGAGTGACAGTTTTGAATTTGCTACAAAGTGACGGTTTAGATTGAATTGTGAGCGTATTATTTAAAAGTTTAACATGTAATTGTATTGCTCAGTTTCTATAGTTACAGGTAAGTCAACATGACGGTAGTTTTTATCATATTATTGCTATTAGATAATCCAAAACATGAATTCTATTGAGCGTACTTTACAGTACCTTTGGTAGTGAATCGTTGCTTTTATTTTTACGGCTACGATGGCAAAATCTTATGAACTTCGACGGCCTCTGAGTGACCGCGAATTATTGGCTCTAATCGAAGATGATAAATTTTTTTACGATCTACCGTTAGATAATTCACCCGATACAGATGTGAAATCAGATGAAGAAAATAACAATGATAATAATAACAGAGGTAAAAATTGTTTATTCCGTTTATTTATGTAGTTCAAAAAATTTAATTTTAGGTGAAGTTGTGAATGACGCGGACGAAGATGACGATCATAACGAAAATGATAACGAGCCGCGGAACGTGCTGGAGAATGAAGAAATTACACCATTAGAACATAAGGAAAGGAAATGGAATAATGAAGAGAGACATAATGTAATTGATGATAGCATTTACAACGAAAACGAGGATAATGCTATGAAGCCTTCATTTCTTGTGATACGGGAACAAAAGTATTTTTGAAATTGATGGAAAAGTCATTGGTAGATATCAGTTTCCAGTCTAATCTTTACGCTACGCAGAAAAATAAAACTCTTAACATGACTTCTGCTGAATTGATGACTTTTATCGGTATCAACTTTTTGATGGGTTATCATCAACTCCCAAGCATAAGTGACTACTGGTCTTCTGAAGCAGATTTAGGTGTCCCAATAATTCAAAAAGCAATGGCGCGAAACAGATTCCAGTTGATACTATCTTTGCTACATGTAAACGACAATAGCTTATTAACGAATGAAAACAAAGACAAATTATATAAAGTTAGGCCTTTCATGGATAATTTGAACCAAGCCTTTTCTTCGTTATACTATGGAACGCGCCAGTTGAGTGTAGATGAGTCAATGATTCGATTCAAAGGTCGTTCTAGTATTAAACAGTATAATCCCATGAAGCCAATAAAAAGAGGCTACAAGCTATGGTGTTTGGCTGACCAACATAGTTTCGTAAAAAAAATTGATGTATATCAAGGTAAACATCAAAAAGTCGCGAAATACGTATAATATAATTTAGGAGAGCGTGTAGTTCTAAATCTTTTAGAGGAGGAATTTGGCAAAAATAAAATTGTTTATTTTGACAATTTTTTTACTTCATTCAGATTGTTAGAAAGGTTAAAACTTGAGAACACATTTGCATGTGGAACAATAAGACATAATCGGTTAGGAAATCTCAAGCAATTAACACCCGATAAAAAGATGATAAGAGGAGATTTTGATTTCAGAGTATCCAATTCGGAAATATCTTTCTATAAATGGAAAGATAATAGAATTGTTACATTGTGTTCGAACTTTCATGGCAACGAAGTAACACAAGTAAATAGAAAAGAAAAGAATGGAAATATAATAAAGGTAACTGCACCAGCTGTTATTGCTGATTATAATAAGTACATGGGCGGTGTAGATCACCATGACCAACTTCGGTCTACGTATGGGATAGACAGGCGTTCGAAAAAATGGTGGCATAGACTATTCTGGGGATTCACCGAAATTGCGTTTATCAATGCCTACATCATTTCAAAACAATTTCTACATCTTGATAATTGTAACAGTTTGAAGCAATTTAGAAGAATGGTCGCTAACGGATTGCTTACGATGACTTTCGAACATCGTAAAAGACCGTCTTCTGGTACCGAACCAGTCTGCAAAAAAAGAAGAAACACTTATAGTGTAAGCAACGATGTACGACTGGGAAATTTGGGAGCACATTGGGTGCGTTTTGAAACAAGAAGAGGCAGATGCGAAATGTGTAGTATACAACAAATACAATCTAAGCCACATTCCTGTTGTTCTACATGTGGCGTATTTTTATGTGTGAACGAGAAGAAAAATTGTTTCGCAAGGTACCATGGCATGAACTTGTAATTCAAATATTTCCATGTTTATTGCTGTTTCCATATTATATGAAGTTATTAGTATTAGTGTGCTATTTCGTTTTTCCTTATACTGTTACGAGAATATATAAAATGTATTTTGTATTAACAATATATTTGAATATAGTAGGCCTGTTTGTTTTCCCTGATAGCGGTTCCTGATAGTTTCTAACGGTTTGATATGTGTGACAAGCTATATAAATGGTATACACTTATGCGGTCACACCTTTCAATGCTGTATGCAGGGCGAATATAAAAAAAAACGGTTGGAAACTGTCAGTAACTGCTTTACGAACAAAGTTAGTAAATCTAATTGATTTGGATTAATTAATTAAATGTCATTCCCCATGTACCATCGGTACTTGAAAGTACCACTCCCAAAACTCAGTAATATAATTACAAAATGTGCTCCGTATTAAAGATTTCCTTTAGTTTTATCAAATTCAAGTAGAAATAGAAATATCAAAGCAATCCATGAAAGATTTTTGGTCGTGATATTTTAGGCAGTAATCCCCGGCAGTACTTTAAAGTACCTTTGGTATACAAAGGGTTAAGCTTACTAGAAAAATGTGATTTGCCGGAAGGTATTTTTATAATATGCCCACTTACCAACAGCTATTAAACTATTTTTATATTTTTAGACAGTCGGAATTACGTTATACTAATCAGCCTCAATGCCATCCTAAAGCCACAATTAATTAAAAAAATAAAGGAAGTTTATAGACCATCCATATTGGATGCGCAAAATTGTTTTACATACTCTTTAACCGTAAGACTAAATTATTATTACATTTCATTATAGGAAGTTGTATAACATGTGATGTGTTTTAGGATAAAAGTTACATTCAAACATTTTTAGAAAAGAGAAAGAAGGAATTTGAGGTGCAGCAATGGAGGCTCCAACCAACTATTTTAGTTAATGGGCCAAATATTGAAAATTTAAACGAATTTTACATATACACTGTTGGAAATAATTCACGAGCACACCCTATATAATCTGAACGCTTGAAGATAAATCCATAATATTTGCGGAGCACAAAGATTTACTGTAGACGAGTTTATTCAGGGAGTTTCAAGTTGTTCCGTCGCGGCATTGTTGACTGAGCCGCCCTTCCAAGTGGAACATTCCGTCGTTATGGAGACCGAAGTGGATGGAAAATACCGGTCGTTTTTAGTGTGGTGTGAGGGACCACATTGTTATCGTACTCTGTGCGCAATGGATGGACGATCGCGTTACTTAAGCGAGTTTGAGTGAGGAATGTTTGGGGGTATGCACATTGAGGGTGTATCGTTCTGTGAAATTGCGCGTCGTCTCGAGAGGTCGTTATCGGCAGTGCAACGGGCATGGGGAGAATGGTCTGCGGTAGGACATAGGTACATACAGCCGCGGCCGGGACGGCCCTGCTCGTCCCCAGCACTCGAGGATCACGTTCTTGTGCTCAGCGCTTTAGCGTCGTGTGTGTCCTCCTCAAGGCAACTTGGAGCTGTTTGGCCACTGGCAGGGGAAGGCGCACTCACTACGCGACCTGTACGGCGGCGTTTGGTAGATAGTGGACTGGCGCGCGCGTCGTGCGATACAGCGGATTCCAGTAACACCCGAGCACCGCAGCATACGTCACGAGTGGGTCGACGCTAGGCATTAGTAGGTTGCCGAGTAGAGGGACATTTTGTTTTCCGACGAATCAAGATTCGAATTGAGCACCGGTGATGCGCGAATTTTAGTTCGTCGGAGCCGTGATCATCGTCTACTCGAGCAGTGTCTGCAAGAACGCCCTATCCACCGACAACCGAGCATTATGGTATGGGGTGCGATTACATATGGTGGACGTACACGTCTGCTGCGTGTATAGCAGACCATGACGGGTCAACGATACGTAGATGAGGTGCTACGGTCCGTTGTGCTTCCCTACGTTCGGCGGCTCCCAGGTCTGCTATACATGCACGACAACGTACGACAGCACATCGGGCGTGTTGTACAGACCTTTGTGGAAGAGCACCGTATACGAATGCTTCCATGGCTAGCTCGGTTTCCGCATCTGAATCCGATCGAACATGTTTGGGACATGACTGGTCGGAGACTTCTACGTTATCCGGCTTCCTC